AAATTTTAAAAGTCATATTAAGAAAATCTGTAAAACCATTAAGGCCAACTTGGGCTGTTTTATGATTATAAGGAACTGTTTGACGTTTGACTGTGCTTTTCTCTTTATGAATTCTATGATTGTCTCACACATATCTTATGGTTTAACTACATCAGTGGTTCTCAAACTCAGTCCTGGCACCCCACTGTGTATGCTGGTTTTTGTTCCAACCACAATTGCAATCTTAGGATTTTAACAAGGTTGATTTGTTTTAATTAGGTGCATTTATGCTAATATCCACATTGGTCCCAAAGGCTCAAACATTTAATCAACATAAATAATCAAAAGGTTCCATAAAGTGAAACTTTTACAACATGGAGGTAAACCCACCAATTTACTTGAAAGTCCTGTTGACAAGAATTTGGGAAAACTCAAAACATCATCATTTGCCAAATTTTCTAAGCAAACATAAGATTTTAAGTTTTTGTAATATTATTTCCTTGCATTTTGTTAAATTGTGTTGTTTTAGTTTTCATTTTTAAATGCCTAAATAATTAAATGGCTCCCCCACCCCTTTGCCAAAACAATTCCCAGGCTCATTGCAAAAGTGGTACCAAAAGATCCACCACTGCTAAATTCTAAGAAACATAAGATTTTACGTAATAAATTTTGTTAAATTGCAATTGCCTAAATAACGCTGTTTCCACCCCTTTCCGCAAGATAGAACATCTTTTGTAGTGTCCCCCAAACTGCTTTCTCCGTAAAAGGGACAAAATTATGGAACTCACTGCCAGACTACTTAAAATGTATTCCTACATTAAGTCTCGTTCAAAAAAAAAAAAAAACCAAATTGTGGCCAATTCAGCAACAATCTTGCTCTCACATTTAGTTTTTACAATGTTCTCTCTCTGTATCTTCTTTTTTTTCATTTGATTTTATTCCCATTTTTCATTTTTCTATTTTTATTAATACTAATCTGTTTTATTATTTTTACCCAAAAGCCCTACTAGGGACAAGTGTCATAAATTAGCTTCAGCTAAAAACACTATGATGCATACATCAGATGACTGTTTCAAGTTTATCTATGTTTTTGTATCTGTCCCTGTTCAAATAGACTATAAATAAATAAATTTTTTCAGTCTTTCATTAATATCTTGACAAGAGGCCTGTCGGCCTAGAGAGCTCCGCTGAGGATGACTGAAATGATCATATTGTTCTGGATCATGTTATTCTGCATCATGTTGTTCTAGATCACTTTGTTCCAGTTCATTGTTCTGGATCTTGTAGCTCCAGATCATCGTTCTGGATGAATTGTTCCGCATCATATTGTCCTATGACAGTGTTAGAAGGATTGTGACTGCTATATTTGTGATGTACTGGGGGGGAAGGGTATTTGTTGGTTCTTAGTATTGCTCTGTGGTAAGATGATTGAAATAAATGATTGCAATTTGGTTCTATTGTTGTACTACATAAATTGAGACACCAAACTGGTTCACAGTATATTCTGGTTACCAAATGTGTCATATGTGTTCATATTGCAATAGTTTTCAAGAATTTCTGAAATTAAGTTATTACATCGACATTTCAATCATCCTCAGAGGAGCTCTCTAGGCCGATAGGCCTCTTGTTCAGTGATACGCCAGTTTGGGCACTGTGCTATTAAATGGTCCTACTGTGTATTGGTGATGTCTTTGCAATAAACAGTGCTACAAGTGTACTGTGTTAGTTGTGTACTACTTGTTATGGCAATTACTTTGAATTTCAATTGTATCTCCCCGACAATGATAGTCGGGAGATACTTTGGTTTAGTTCCGGGGCCGCCGCCGCGCCAGCAGAGATTTTCTGTTCCGGGCTCTGGAAGCCACAATTATTACAGGAATTTCTTTTAATTTTACACAGGCAAAGTTATTTATTTGTCAATGCTCAAGACCGATTTTTGGCAATTTCAGACGTCCAATATGGCTGCCAGCAGCCATTTTGTCCGAAATTTGGGGATCAGGGAGATACAAGACTCAGTCGCTGAGGCGACCGAGTTATCTAGTTAATCATCATTCATGTCCTTGTATATACATCAGACTGAAGGTGCAAAAAGACTTATCACAGACAACAAAGTACAGGAAGTCCCTTATATGAAAACAACAAATGGACTGCAAATGTTAGACAGGCAATAACCATATAAAACACAATGTGTGTGTATGTATGCGTGCGTGCGTGTGTGTCTGTGTGTGAGTAAGTGAGTTTGTTAGTGAGGGAGTGAGTGGTGAGAGAGAGTGTGTGTGTGGTAAAGAGGAAATTGACCCTTAGCTCTGTTGTTCGAGTTCATCGTGTGCTGTCCATAGGTATAAAAAGACAATTTGGCACAACATAGACCAAGTTATGGTCAGGCAGCTAAAGCTGACCTAATGGGGCATGCAGCATGACACATGAGGAGATATGCCCCATTAAGTCAACTTTAGCCGTCTCTCCATAACTCGGTCAATGTTGTGCCAAATTTTCTCATTCTTTTTCCTATGGACAACACGTGATGAACTTGAACAACAAAGCTATGGGTCACATAACACCGAACTTCCCCTTTAATGTTCGTGTGTGCATGCCTGCATGTGTGTGTATCGTTCCACTCATCCATTCATGCATTCATTCAACCAGTCATCCTGCCAACCCAGTAATCTAACCATCCAAGCCATTAAACCAGTGATTGTATCTCAAAGCAGCATTTTGTCAGACAGTTCTTGTCAGACAGCCTCTTTCTCGTTGGAGTCAAGATGAGCTTCCCAGGCTAAACAGTCTCTCTACAGGGGCACTGGATGGCGTGGCTGCATTGTATTTGAGTGAAATGTTCTTTATCATTGGAAATGCATGAAGACTGTCCATCCCTTGTGGTCCTGAATTGAAATAGTCCACGACTTTACTTTCAGCAGTAGCAGACGTGTCATCCTCAAAGGAGAAGAACTCATCCTCTATAGCAGAGTCAGGGCTGAGGTGGCATGTTAGTGTGCTGGTACCTGTTTGCAGGTCCTCGTCTTGGATACCTTTCCGGCATTCTGCCAGCAGACGTGCCTTAGCATTGTCCTTCCTGTCCTGTGTCTGCAGCCAGCGTAGTTTAAACCTGGGCAGAGTCACCGCAGCCAAGAGGGCATCCTCGCTTTCCAACATCTCCAAAAATCTTCTTTTGATTGCCTTAGATGATGGAGAATACAAAGAACACAATACTGACCATCAGTCTCTCTACACACACACACACACACACACACACACACACACAGAATCATTAGGCCTACACATTGTAGTCAGGGTCAATTTTTCCAAAAAAGTGAACGTTGAAGGCATTTCGTATTAATTTTGGGCATACAGCATTTTAAGGGGTTGTCAAGGGTGCTGAATCCAAATCTGATCTGTGCCCATTTCCCAGTGCAAAAATGTCCCATAATGCCTTAAAATTCAGCACTTTGAAACTTACCATTGACATGAATGGGATTCCATGGATTTAGACAGGAGAAGTGTACAACCACCAAATTGTAGTCTGAACTATAGAGGGAAACCTAATTCAACCATACAAACCAAACAGTATTCTGAAATAAATGCACCCTCAGGATGTAATCTAATATGACATGAGTCATGCACCTCCCTCCTCATTATTGTGCAGCCCAATATTAATAAATTGGGTGTTTTTTGATTTGGGGTATTTTGTCATGATTTTCAGAGCTCTACCATCAAGGGGAAACAGATTAGACCCCATAAATGTAAAACTAATTAAACCCCCTTTTCCCTATGTTAGATCACATCCTGATGGTATATGCTTTCAGAAAATATATGGTTTATGGGATCTAATTTGTTTCCCTTTAATGATGGAGGCCCAAAAGTTATCAGCAAAACCCCCAATTTAGCAAGGTCCAATTTATTAATTATGGGCTGCATAGTAATGAGGAGATGGGGCATGTCTCATACCATATTAGATCACATCCTGAGGGTGTATGCTTTCAGAAAATGTATAGTTTATATGGTTGAATCATTTTCGTCTTCATGATGCAGACCACAATATACTTGTTTGTACATTTTTCCCTTGTTATCCGCTGAATGCCATTCATTTCAATGGTAAGTTTAACCCCTTAAGCCCGAACACCCCCGGTCCCGGGGGCGGTGGTTATGCATGATTAATACAGCATGTTTCCAAATCGCAGCATTGTCATGCGGCATATCCACTTTACGCAAAGACACTCGGCAAAATGCTCATGTTGACCATTTTTACCTCAACCGAACAAATTTCAAGCACCAAGCAAGTAAATAAGCATTTAGCAAAACATAGGATAAAATCATATCAGCACTGAGTCAAAAGAATTTCTCCTGAATTTGTGCTATGTATATGAACTCAAATGAAAGAGGAAAGTCCACAGAATCCAACGATATATGCCCTGTCATTTTAAACCGACACCACACTCAAAGAACAGCAGGCATACACTTTACAGTCTACAGAGATGAGAAAAAAAATGTCTACCCTTTGATATTTTGTAATAAAAAACTGTTTGAGGGTAAATCCACACTTGCTATTGTAAGCTGAATGTGTCCATGTAAAAACAAAACTAGATCTTCCAGTTTCCAAGCAATTTTTTCTTCTCAAGCATTGCTTCAGAGATCTCAGCCCCTCTGCATTCAGCTTGCTTGCAATGTATTTTCCTCTTTGTGATTGGCTTGTGATGCTGTCAGTAAGACTTTGCCAGTAGCCATTTTATTCTATGGGCTCTGACGTTTCCAACGAGCCCTAAATCACCTTAATTGCACTAATCTAGCCTGAGAAAGAGCCTTTTGTTTTCAGTGCATCAAACTGAGTCCATGGGCCATTCAAATGTACTTAAATAGCGCGACAATGTAAACGCTTAACAGGTTTGTTTGTGGTATTTTGCGGTATAATTATCCGCTAAATATTCAACCGTCATTTTCAAAGCCCTTTTCTGACAGAAAACGCATGAATACTGAGGTTTCTTAACTCAGTCTTGATATGGGCAATTTGACATCAAAACAATAGTCAACTGATGTAGCCTAGTGGTTAGGGTGTAGGGCTGCAATACAGGTGACCAAGGTTCAAGTCCCCAGTCAGTTGTAAGACAATAGTAGCATTTTTCTTGTAAAAATAATTGCTGGGGTTTTTGTTCTTTTTACTCTTTTTCCCTTTTTTAATCTTTCCTTTGTATTCATTATCTTATTCATTTGCTTTTTTTTAATAAATCTGCTCCAGTGGAGCCAAACTTCATTTTCTTTGTATGTATTGTCTTTGAATGGGAAATTGTATAGACCATAGGACTGGCAGAAATAATAATTAAAAAATTTTTAGAAATTCTAAAAATTCAAAACTGGTTGTATTTGGGTGGAATGTATGCCTGTGGTGACATATAAGTGAAATAAGATGAGTTTTACAGTTTAATATCTGAGAAATCTGATTTGGCGCACAAGGTACCTGAATTGCCAATTTGAAGAACCCACCTAGACATTCCTTTCTAATTTTGTTCTGATTTATTTGATTAGAATATACTTTGGCACAGATAATGGTGAGATTCTGTGCTGTACATTTTTAGAGGTTTCAGACTGCAACTAAAAAAGTTCACAAGGGATAGAAGTAAAACTTGTTTATTGCAAAATGAGATCTTTGATTTATACTGTGTTCCATCTTCATTTACTCTGACTCAGTGACATATATACTGATTTTTACACCACGGCAGAAATCCCAAATGGTTTTACCTTTATTATGATACCAAGATTATTCAAATGGAACAAATACAACCCCGATTCTGAAATAGTTGGGACAAAGTGTAAATTATGAATAAAATCAAAATGCAATGACTTTCAAATCACATCAGCCAGTATTTTATTCACAACAGAACAGAGATAACATAGCAAATGTTGAAACTGAGAAATTTTACAATTTTATCCACAAAATGAGATCATTTCAAATTTGATGGCTGCTACAGATCTCAAAAAAGTTGGGACAGGGGCCTGTTTACCATGGTGAAGCATCCCCTCTTCTTTTTAACACAGAGTGGATTAGGGATGTAAACAATTAACCGATTATCAATTAATTGTTGAAAACAGTTTACTCGATTAATTTAAATTATTCATCAATTAATTGAACATTTTACGGTCCTACACCCCGAGAGCTTTTTTTTTTTTTTTTTGTGAAATGTAGTGGCGTCGCCAGTCGAGGGCGCCATTGCCGAATCTAGACCACGCTTGAAATACCTGACACAATGCATGCGCGACAACACACAAGCATGAAGCGATCACGGGGTGAAGCTAGATCCGGAGTAGTTCAAGTACGCTGTGCGAGAGTTGACTGAAATCTCGCCGGACATGCGACAAGACTAGTCCAGCAGCTGAGCTGAAGCAGAATGGACCGTACGTGATGATCTTCCAAAAGGTAAGACGTTTAAAGAATTAGACTGAATATTGTCAGCACATCTGAATTAAATAACACGTACAGTAAAGCGTTTTACTGGATTATTCCCTGCACGATTCTTGAGATATTTAATGTTTACGGACAACAAATGGGGCTACGATACTAGCTAGGTACAGTTAGCGACAGTTACTACCGCTCACCATGAACAGCAGTATACTTGTAAACTCCGTCACGTCAGTGCCATTTCATCCAAAGACGCGAAATTAGAGGGGAAAAATGCTTCTTAAACGTGATTTTTTTTTTTTTTTGCAGAATGGGGTGGGGGGAGTGAAATGTTGGAGAAGTAACGTAAATATACCATCAGACTCGTTATAGCAGTGGATGTGGTGAAGTGAGATTTTCTTTTGAACAAGGTAGCTAACGTTAGCTGGTGTAATAAAGTTAACCTTACAGAATAATAAAGAAGAGCCATCGTTTGCTGTGATACATCGCTATTAATATTGATTGTGGGAGCTTTTTTCTTTTTTTAACTTCTATTCAGTAAACTTAGACGTGATCTCTTGAGTGTTTTAAGATTTGTGATTCTGTTGACATTACCTGTCGAATATTATGTTGCTGCTCAGCTAATTTTGGATTGATGATTAAGGGAGAGGGAGGCTGGAGGACCAAATAGAAGATTGAAAACAATGTATTGGCCAAATAGCCTTCTATGCTTAATTTTCCAAAATGTTTGGCCTAAGTGGGGAATCTTACTGAATACTAAAAATATTGAGCTGTACTGTATTTCTTGTCTGAAAGACTGCAAAGAACATGATCCAACTTTATGCTAATTCCTGTCACATCTGTAACTGATGCCATTTGCCATACTTAAACATCAGCAGCAAAAGCTGTTAATCACAGCTACTTGAGTTCCATAACCTAAGAAGAGAAACAAAGACCACACCTCATCTCTCAGCACAATTTCCCATCCAAGCCTATATAGGTGTGTCTAACCCTTTCTCCTGTCTACCCCCCCTTTCAGCTGAAGAGCTGCAGGCGATTCAATAAAAGCCTCCCTGCAATGAGACAGACGACACTCACCCTACACCCTGAGTCTTAACTCCCTAAGCTGTGTAAACCTTTCCTTGTTCTTTACTTTTAATAAACTGGACAATAAGCTTCCAAATTGTGTGGTCTTTGGTTGTGAAAAAGTGCAAGTGCAGTGTTTGAATGCGATCACCTCACATTTTTATTGTTGAAATTTTTAATGTTTGTTCGATTTCTCCTGCTGAATTGAGCCAACAATTTATTATATTTTTTCTCTTCTTCACATCATTGGAGAAACCGTACATTTGTATTCAACCTCCCAGCGATTGGAGCATCCCCATGCAGCACAGCAAACCATGGTCGAGATTATATTCAAGAACAACATGGAGGACATGCTATTAGCAATGCTATTCATGTTTCTGAGTTTATTGAAGATTTCTTTTTCATGAAGTATTTTCAGTACATACAGTGCCGTAAAAAAGTATTTGCCCCCTTCCTGATTTCTTACTTTTTTCACATTTTTCACACTTAAATGTTTCAGATCATCAAACAAATTTTAATATAAAACAAATAACCCGAGTAAATACAAAATACAGTTTTGAAATGATGATTTCATTTATTAAGGGGAAAAGGCTATCCAAATCTACCTGGCCCTATGTGAAAAAAATAAGTGCCCCCCTTGTTAAATCATGAATTAACTGTGATTAACCACATTTTTTTAGTTCAATTTCACTAGCCACACCCAGGCCTGATTACTGCCAGACCTGTTGAATCAAGAAATCACTTAAATAGAACCTGTTTGACAAAGTGAAGTAGGCTAAAAGATCTCAAAAAGCAAGACATCATGCTGCAAACTAAAGAAATTCAAGAACAGATGAGAAACAAAGAAATTGACATCTATCAGTCTGGAAAGGGTGGCAAAGCCATTTCTAAAGCTTTGGGACTCCGGCAAATCACGGTGAAAGCCATTATCCACAAATGGAGAAAACTTGGAACAGTGGTGAACCTTCCCAGGAGTGGCTGGCCTACCAGAATAACCAAAAGCGCATCGACGACTCATCCAGGAGGTCACAAAAGAACCCAGAACAACATCTAAAGAACTGCAGGCCTCACTTGCCTCATTTAAAGTCAGTATTCATGATTCAACAATAAGAAAGAGACTGGGCAAAAATAGCATCCATGGGAGGGTTCCAAGGCGAAAACTACTGCTGACCAAAAAGAACACAAGGGCTCATCTCACATTTGCCAAAATACATCTTGATGATCCCCAAGACTTTTGGGAAAATATTCTGTGGACTGACGAGACAAAAGTTTAACTTTTTGGAAGGAGTGCATCCTGTTACATCAGGCGTAAAACTAACATATCATTTCATAAGAAGAACATCATACCAAAAGTCAAACTTGGTGGTATTGTGATGGTTTGGGGCTGCTTTGCTGCTTCAGGACCTGGATGACTTGTTGTAATTGATGTAACTATGAATTTTGCTCTCTACCAGAAAATCCTGAAGGAGAATGTCCAACCATCAGTTCATGAACTCAAACTCAAGCGCACTTGGGTTAAGCAGCAGGACAATGATCCGAAACACACAAGCAAGTCCACCTCTGAATGGCTTAAAAAAAAAAATTGAAGGTTTTGGAGCGGCCTAAGCAAAGTCCGGACTTGAATCCGATTGTGATGCTGTGGCATGACCTTAAACAGGCTGTTCATGCTCAAAAACCCTCCAATGTGGCTGAATTAAAACATTCTGCAAAGAGGAGTGAGCCACAATTCCTCCACAGCGATGTGAAAGACTCATTGCCAGTTACTGCAAACACTTGCTTGCAGTTGTTGTCGCAGAGGGTGGCACAACCAGTTATTAGGTTTAGGGACAATTACTTTTTTCACACCAGGCCAGGTAGGTTTGGATAGCTTTTTCCCCTTAATAAATTAAATCATCATTTAAAAACTGCATTTTGTATTTACACGGGTTGTCTTTGTCTAATATTAAAATTTATTTGCTGATCTGAAACATTTGTGTGACAAATATGCAAGAAAATAAGAAATCAGGAAGGGGGCAAATACTTTTTCACAGCACTGTAAGTGCAAAATAAAAAGATATACATAAAATGTATGTGTATAACGAGATAAATTTGTGTTTTAATGTGTCTTGTTATGTCTGGATGTATAGTGTTTAATGAGCTCTTCCTAAAAATATTACTGTACATGCAAGCCTAGATAAATTTATACCTTCTGCATGCAAAAAGTTAATGAAAAAGTTGTTTTGAACTAATCACTAAACACCAATACATAAGTGCAGATGTACATTAAAATGATGAACAGATAAATTGTAATTATTTCCAGTGGATTTTCTAAGATGCCACACTGAAAATTATGCTGCTTTTAATAATGCAGGGACTAATTTTGCTGTCAGTTAATACTCATTGATAGTCATCTGTCAGTCCTCCGTCCTTTCTGAAAGTCATGAAGTTTACATAAGTTGTTATTGAATTGATAAAGTAGATCCTCCATTTTCATGGGATTATTAAAACCCCAAACAAATAAAGAAATGGTAAAAAATTAAACTTAAACGTTCCTTCCCCTCCCTCTGCATAATAAACATTAGGATGGGATTAAACAAGCATTGTAGTCAAAAGCAAAAACAAACCAAGAATTCAAAGCAATCAACAACAGGAATACGCTCTTTA